AAAGCAGTGTTATTTTAGATTACATAACATCTCTTTATCTCAGTGTTTTATGGTCACTGTGCATGTGCATTATTTGAACATAACAGCGAGTAAAAGATTATTAAACTGTTATAGCTAAAAATACACCACATTTTCATTTTTATTTTTACTCTAATTATTTTTAACAAACCCAGACAGCTGCAGCATTTGTTTATATATATATATATATATATATATATATATATATATATATATATATATATATATGCACTAATTAAAATGTATATTCAGAAACATAAAGGATTTTTACTGGTCTTGTTAAACCAAGCTTTGAGGGCCTATATAACACTGTGATTTATGTGAGAGATTTTCAGCTGTTTTTGGCTCACACTCACCTGTTTAGTCATCAGAGGCGCATTACATGGCCACATACCAGGTTGACGACAGACAGGCAATACCACTTGTGCTTTTTGACGCTACAGCTAAGGGTGAATAATGCAATATTAACCACCTCCATGTGGCTCCAAAGGGTTTTTATCACACAAATGGATCAGGTTTAAGGGGAAAACTAGAACTAAGCTGCAACAGGAAGCTTTGACTAATGCAAGTGCCAACGGGACTAGCTTTGGAGAGCGTATATCAATGCCAAAGGACGGTATGTATGTGGTCAGAGGATGAACCAACTGGAGGCCATGTTTGTATGGTGGTTTTTGGTTTCTATGACAAAACAAACTCATAAAAAAGATGACAGTGGAGTGGAGAGATTCAGTGTGTTTCAGCATTCACAATTTACTAACACACATGACCACAATGACATGTGTATACAACAGCCGGGGGTTCACAGCTTCTCATGTTTGAAGAACTGAAAACCAGTGACCATGTATGACAAGAGACAAAAAACAGACATAAATTCATGATTTAGCTGATTTGGGGCTACAAAAATATTGATTATTTCTTAGAAAGAGAGAGAAGAAAAGAGTGAGAGAGAGGGAGAAATCCAAGGTCCTTGATGGCATTCCTTGCATTTGTAGAAAAAGCGTAACTTGATGAATGGCTGGGCTGCACTATATCACAGTTGTGGACTTCAAACACACGATTCCGCAGTGTCATGGCATCTTACCGTGTGTCAAAGTTGCTATGCTAACACCACACAAGCAGCTGAAGACAGGGGCTCTGCTCCTGACGGTTCCCGTGAGCCGACAGGACCAGATGTCAATCACCAACACCTATAGAATAAAATAAAAGGATAAAAAGGAAAATTCTATACTACAGAAGATTATTGTTAAGATGTATTTTGAATCAACATTTTCTATTAAAAGTTTCATTTCATTACGTGGTCATAAATAACTGAATTACTGTTTCCAATTCTTAGAGGAGATGGTGAGATAGTCTTATTTTGTCCTCATGGTCTAAAAACAAGCTGAACAAAAATTGGATTTATAAATTTATGCTTGTGGTGTTGTAATAAATATATAGATGTCAGGTAATCAGTAGATACACCAAATTCTACACCCAAAAAAAAGTATAAAATGATTCATGATGTGGATCTGTGGATCACTTGTGCCGCAGGAGAGTCAGTAGAAACTTGTGGCAAATGTTGATTGAATAATGCTATTAAATCAACTAACATAAGAGCCTTTGCGGTCAGAACATGCACATAAATCTGCTAACTGATATAGCTAATTGAGATCAAATTCTCAATGAGACTTTAATCCTTCATCTAAACAAGGATAAGACAGGAAATGGTTGCCCAAAGATCTTTGAGTAATTGTAAGCTTGTGTCAAAAGCATTGTGTTTCCTTTGATTTGGTTTCTTTTGCTAAAGACATCACTGACGGGCACATGTGCTAGTTTAATAGGTGAATCTATGGGAGATGAGGACAAAGACTCAGCAGCAGCACCTCAGTCCCATAGATCCACAATGGTGTCCTACTGTGGCCAGTTGCCTGTTTGTTCACAATATAAAGTGTGATCTGTGGAAATTAGACGGTCGTCATAATAAGTTCAGTCATCCATAGCAATGCCCCCGGGGTCACACTGTCTGTAAGGGTCACTATGGCCTGAAAGGGTTTAAATAAACTGCTCAGTGACAGATCATGATGTCTCTACTCCTCTGCAACTTTACTTCAGAAAATATATGGATCAAGTATAATGTATTTTATACGTGACAAATAAAGAATGGAATTTATGTGGATGAATTTAATTCATTTTAATGACTTGCCTACATGCATCAAAATGCATGAAGACAATAACAGTTTAAATACAAAATACCAAACACTACATAGCAAGCATTCATTGTTTGCATGAATGTCGACAACACAAAGCATATACCGTCATTAAGAATGTTTTGACATTTTTTTAACTAATAATAAACCATTACAATATCTATAAATTCAAGACAAGTATAGTAAATGTAACCTCTCTGCCATGAACAGCATGGGCTCAAGACATCTGCTAAGTCTGAGAATCTTCAGAGAATCGGGTTTGTAATTTACAGTCACGGTCAAAAAAGTGTGCAGTGATGCTCTTTGAGGGTACAGTAAGAAATGGGGTGTACAGAGAACAGGAGATGGACCCCTGGAGGGGGACCTCCCAAAACATGGGCACCACATGGAAGCCAGCTCCAATCTCATAAACAGTGCTACATGCACAGGTGGCAGAGAAAGCCGCTGGAGCTGGAATCATACACTTTAAGTTTAGCGTGTACCTAAATCACCAGAACTAATGCATTTCCTACATTTTCAGATTTAAGGTATAGAGTAAATCATGGCAGAAGAACAGAAGCGTGTGTTTTATTTCAGGGAATACAAAACCCACAGTTGTTAAGGTTAGAGGGAAAGAAACAATAGAACAATAACTGGTGCCAAGTGTTGCTTATGTAACCCTTCTACTTTGGTCCATTCACCTCAGCAGTTGCAAAATAAGATGTTATGTTGTCCCATGAGAAGTCACAGGCCGATACCATTAAGAGCATGCTTTGACTTATTTATCTTTTGAGAATAAATTACTTCCATTTGTGTTTTTACAAGTTTGTGTCAAGCTCACAAAGTTTTAGGGGAAAGAAATTCTCCTCATCAACAAAACTGTAGCTGGTATGGGAATCCAGCTGCACTTTAGGGCAAGGGTTCAGTGACTGATATTGTTGTTTTCAGAATCAGCAGTGTCTAAAAGTATAATAAATCCATAAATGAACGGGAACACAGCAGGAAATGGGAAGAGAACAAGGAGAGGCAAGACAAACTCTCTCTAAAAGGTTTGGTGTTGCTTAGTCCTAATGTGTTTTTTATTTTATATAGTATCTTTCTATTTAGTCTCACTTTCACCTGTGGATCTCAACCTCAGACCCATTCAGTTTGTATTTGTTTTATTTAACAATAATTTCATCAGACAAAATATTAAGAAAAAAAAATTGACATTGTAGGCCAGAGTAGTCCTGCCTTAAGATGGTGTTTTAAAAGCCAACATTTCAGAAGAGGTTCTTAGACAGATCTGCTGCCACAGGGCCATGACTTGTACTCTTGGTCTATTTTCCTCTCTCACACTTGGAGTCAGACACTCTTTGAGGTCTGTGAGAGAAGTCAATATGTTCTTTCAGCTGTCAACGGCATGCCCAGCACTCGTCATGAGCTGCCTGCCCGGTTTACATGGCAACATCTCAAACACCACCAAGTTGATGACCCACTAACAGTATGTTGACTGGCCACTTAGGTACACCTGATAATATTTCTGTTTACGTTTTAGTTAATTTATTCACATGTAAAAGAACTGTCTCAACATTACAGTTTTAGGAGGCAGAAGCTGTAAGCCAATTAGCCTACTCATAAAGAGGCCTAATACACACTACAATATCACATGTTTACTCTGTGCACCACATCTATCATAACACTTCATATATTTGCATTCTCATTTGAGATGACCCATTGGCTACAAGACTACAGATTGCTTTGTGACTGAGTTCAGCAAGAAAAAAGAAAGTAACTAAGTGACTTTCACACAACAGAGGCAGTGCCTGCACACTAAGGTTCTTGATGAAAGCCAAATGCCTGCCTCACATCTGCATCCCGTTAAGGACACTAATAACACCAGCGTCCTGCGCCCGCAGCGACGACATGCACGCGCCTACAAATACGTACATGTGTATACGGTCACAGTGGAAACTTTCCCGTAGAAGTGGAGGTGATCCCTGGGCCGAAAAAAATACTCTTCTACCCAAACATGACCTGACTGACGTGCCTGTTGTTTTAAATCCGTATTTGCTTTTCAAAGCCACACGCCTTCTCGGTTGTTTTAGGGTTTACGGTTTTTAAAAAATGGATTTAGGTGATTATCAACTCAGTTTCTACTACATATATATATATATATATATATATATATATATATATATATATATATATATATATATATATATATATATATATATATATATATATATATATATATATATGTATTTCCCACCAGCAGAGTAGGCCTATTAGGATACATCATTGCTGCTTTGGGGGGGGGAAATCAAATTGTGTAATCATATACCTGAATGAGTGGCCGGTAGTTTCCTCTTAAATGATTAGGCTACAGGCCAACAGATCAAATCTAGATATTAATTCTTTGGAAAAGACACAACATCCGGAGCACGTAGAGGTCTTTTTTCTGGGGATTTGATGCATCTTAATTGGGAGCGCGCACTTCTGCTGTTGAGAGGGAAAAAATGTACGTGTGAAAACGGAAACGGTGACTTTCAGAACAACAAAATCTCATAATATACATTTTCAGAAGGATTCACACATTGGATAACAAAAGCTCAGCTTAACGCGCTGAATGCCTGCGTGTGCATACGTTTATTTTTAAAGTGATAAAGTAAACATAGGTGAATGGCAATCGATAAATGAGCGTTGAACCAGCCCTATTAGGGTTCGTGTGGGTTTTATTTGCAAACAAACCGGATGTGACGCGATGTCTCTCCGGCACTTGACGTTTGGCTGTGCGTAATTTAACACTCCAGCAGCGCGCCGTCTGTCATAGTTCCTCTGGACTTTACTGAGAACACATCAAACAGCGGTGATACTGGTACTGAGGGAAGATGGATTTGAAGCTGTTGGCAGTCGTGGCTACGCTTATGTTAATAGCACATGCACCCGAATCAGAAGGTAAGGAACAAATGTACTTTTCATATCATAGTTATCAAGTCAGATTTTACTTATCAGTCTAGCATGGAACAGGCAAATATAAAGACATATTTATAGCTGTGAAATGCAAATATCAATCAGTTGAACACAGTTAAATTGATTAAGTTAAAAAAAAAAAAAAAAAAAAAAAAAAAAACGCAAATTTTGACAGATGCGTAATACGTTGGAACCACATTATTCCATTTAATAATTCGACTATGTTCTTTATTAATTGCAGTTTTACAAAAACAATGTATTTAGGGGGCTCTTGATTCAAGACAGAGCACATTTTTCTCCGTGCGTAAAAGCGCGCATTGCTGCGCGCTTGACCCACACATCAGTGTGTATTTGTTCTACTTTCCCTTTTCATTTTGCACAAATGAGGATGCCATCAGTGCAGCTAGTCTTCATGGCGACATCACACATCCAACTGATTACTTTTCTTTTGGTGCTCCGTTCATTATTATGTTAATACGCGCGTACGAGTGCAAAAAGATTTAACATTAAGACTTAAAGCCTAAAGCCTAAAAGCGCATCCATTAAACCAACATTGCTCTGAGTTATTTGACGTTACAACCTTCTTTTTCCCCCCTCCCTTTATTTCGTGAAAAGGTTAATGTACGGCATGATTTGTGTTGTCTCACAATCAAATGTGAATAAAAAAACAACTGAAGTCAACTTGAACAAAAAGTTCTGTCCGTGTTGGCAACAAGTCCTTCTATCTCACACATATGGGGACCACACGCTTGTTCAGAGCATCCTCCTATTCCTTTAATCATTGTTTTAGATAAAATGGCAGTTGTGTATATATTCTTTTGAGAGTTTTGAGATTTTAGATTATAGCAGTAATTGGTTTGGAGGTACATAGAATTAGGATGAGATGAGAGGTCCTGCTTTTTGCCAAATGTTTAAGTTTATTTTACTTGTTGTCTTTAAGTTGCATGCAGTTATTTCTATTAGGATTTAAGTCTTAATCTGTTTACCCTCTTTACAGGAAAGCCCATCAGCCTGGTGGAGAGATGTTACTGCCGCTCCACAGTCAACAACATCTCCAAATTTCACATCCGGGAGCTGCGGTTTATCCAGACTCCTAACTGCCCCTTCCAAGTGATGTGAGTGCAGCGTTTATTCTTCTTCATTCTTCAACTGCCCAAATGCACACATGTACACTCTATTGGTCAGGTTTCCTCCTTCCTAGATACTTCTCACCATCAATCTCCACGCGCTGACAGGATTGAGAAAAGCATTTTAGCCATACGCCCCTCTGTCACTCGCACTGACATTCACACATCCTAAGAAACCGTTAACTTTTGTCTCCCTGAAAAAACTAAAGGCATATCCGGGAAGTGGACATTTTTAGTAGAATGAAAGAAAGGTGGATTTTGCAAGCACTTTTTATAGCGGGAAAGAATAGTTGTGGTTTTCATGATTGCGTAGTTGGTTTCGTCTTTCCTTGTGTTACGATTCAGACTTAATTCAATGTTACAGCTAGTGTGTGGTAACTTTATAGAACAAGGCCTGTATTTGGTTAAAGGAGACAGGAAGACATAGTAATTTAAGAAGAAGAAAATCAAATACTTGTGTCATTTGTTATCAAAATCTTGGTTACTATGGCAATCATCTCCCCCTGATAGACATATGATCTGGTCTTGACCTTTCTGTAAATAGCCACACGGTCACATTTATAGAGATTCCTCTATGACACATGGTCCTTTGATGTCAAAACTCATATTTTTACAAGGCATCAATTTGCCATCACAATTAAGAATGGCATGTCTGGCTAACATGTAATCCAGGGCACATTTTTGGTGAGAAGGGGTGTGAGTGGCCCCCAAAAACAAATAGACTGCTGTGACGGTATCTCTAAGTGTTAATTTCACAGTGTTGTGTCAAGTCAGCTTGTGTGATAAGAAAGTGTCAGAAAAGCTGATAGCCAGGTTTTTTGCATAAATAGGTCTTTCATCTTTTGCTATAGCATAACTGCCAAATCCTCATCTATTTTCTTTTTATTTCTCTATCAGTGCAAAGTTGAAGAATAACAAAGAGGTGTGCGTGAACCCAGAAATCAGGTGGCTGCAGCAGTACCTGCAGAATGCTATCAACAAGTAAGTACAGTATTTTGAGTTGTAAAATGTGTATGCAGCTCCAATGTCTCCCATTTACTAGCCTAAGTCTGTCTGTCTGTATAATGACTTCCACCCTATAGACATTCAAATATTCACAAAGACGCATTTAAACGTGTAAGCGCACACATGTGAATAGCAGCCTGTTGGTAATGAGACAAGCCTTAAATACCCAATTCTTGAGGCAGAACATGCTTTTGCATGACGTATTGCAACAACAGATTTTTATCTCTTAGATTGAGATTTGACCATGTCCTTAAACGGAATTTGCCAATCGTCAAGTGCCAAGAAGCATTCCCAGAAGTCACTGTTAACATTTACTGTCTTTTGCAAGAGCAGCACTGTTTAAAAATACTTGGCACTGTAAAGTTTGTAGAGGGATTCAAGTTTCCATCGAGAACTTCTTGGACTCATTTCTAGTTGTAAATACATGTCCAGTGGTTTGCAGCTAATTTTATGAAGATTCTGATTTGATTTTGATGAAGATAATTTCCTGTTTTCTGCACTAATTCTAGTCATTCATCAAAATTAGTGAATGCCCAGGCGTGTCCGCTCCGAATACCCATCGAACAGTTAGTCTTTTTGGGGCTTGCAGTCGGTCCGTCTGGCCTGGGACGGTTGTGGAGTCCTTTGGGTGTGAATGTCTTATGCATAACAAAACAGCCCATGTAGTAAAGTAGATGGAGCGCATTAACAATGGATCAGACCTAATGTGTTTTCAATTACACACTGGTCACAAAGGGAGGAGGGCTGTGCTCATTCTCCAGGCGTCAAAAAACTCACCTCACAGGATTACACATTTTGTCTTTTGTATGTTTTAATAACTCTTAATGGACAGAACAATACATGGTTATGAGCAATATAACTAATGAACTGACAAACTAGTGAGGACTAAATTAACAAATAAAGAGAAAGTGAAAGTAATTATTTCTCTGAGGTAACTTTATGTACACAGTAACAGTTTGCAGACATTGTTGTAATAGTAGTTTTAGGTATTGTATTCATTTAGTTTGTATATTGTGTCTTTCTTTTTGTTGATAAACCATATATGCTGATTCTTAAGGGTACAACATCTAAATTTTCTCATTTGCTTGTCTCCATGGAGATGTTATTTTGTTGTCTGGAATATTCCACAGTATGGCATTATATGTATCTATTTTACTGGAGAAACAAGCAGTGCCACCAGGACAAATTGCAGGTCATCTGGCCACTCTCACAGTTAGCAAACAGGTTTTTCAAGCAATAAAAAATAACTGTAATTGAATTATTGAGTTAGTGAACCCCCCTATTAGAAAAAAAAATCAATGTATGAAATAACATTACAAAAAATAACAAACACCTTTAAACAATCCAAACTATTGTGTTTTGCTCATTTTATCTGTTTTTATTTCTTGCAGGATGAAGAAATCCAAGCAAGCCATCTAACCCGTGTTGTGAACCCATGTCTTTGCCCTGGGCTGGGGCCACCATCACAATAATGAAGCCTGTTTATTCATGAGATCATCTGATATATATATTATACAGCACTTATTCTGGCTGTTATGCTGCGGCCTTGTATGGAAAATTTACCTACAAATCATCATTACGTCACCTGGCTACCAAGACTGTGGGCACTATCACCACTTATAAAGATATGACATTATTAGTGCAATTATATGAGTGTACGTTGTTTTCTAATGTTACTGTATATAGACTTTGTCTATGGACTTCACCAGTAAAGAGCTATTTTTGATATGTCCTTGTTTTGGCCTCTGTCATTAAGGAGCAATGGTGTAGTAAGGATATTGTAGGTCAGTATGAAAGTGGTTATCCCTGCAGTTAACTGAGCCAGGAAAATAATTTTTAAAAGTCATTAGTGTCTTCCATTTGTTACAATAAGAAGTTGGTTGCTTACAAAGACATTTTGAGTTAAGTCCTTCATGTTTTGATTTAATTGGCATCTTGGAAAAACCTGTGGCTGCCTGCTAACTTTAGCTTGATTGTCAGACATGTACACAAACTAGTAAAAATTACAATTACAATGTTTTGCGATGGAAATTTGGATGCCAAGAAAGCTGGGGCATTTCCTGAGCTGGTCTTGTGGCTTGGAGTGAGCAGGCCTCATTACTCAACGCATATAAAGAGTTGAACATCTGGATCTCTAAGCATTTTAATTGAGCAGCCAATATATAGAAATTTACTGGAATCGTAAAATTGGTCAGCTGGGCAAGAATAATCACATTGGTGCAAATGAATTAACGCCAAAACTATAAAAGGAAGTTGTACGGCAGTTAGTCACCTGGAGAATTCACTACCACTACCAAAACTACCATTCACTTGTACATATAATGGACTACCTACTGTCATGCAGATAGCAATGCACTTTATATGTGATGTATTCTTGTTCTAACCCATCGTGTAATTAAACTGTTTTTTATCCCTATGTAATCTCATTTATGTTGAATGTGACTTTGCTGTGTTGAGAAATGTCACCGATTGATTCTAATCATAGGTACATTGCATGTAAATTTAAAATTATCTAAAAGATTATTTTTGTACTCTATTGCATTGTATGGAATCAAAACATTAAAATGAAGAAATGTATGTTGACGTCTGAACCACAAGCCATTTTAAACTAAAATAAGACACATATTTGTTTTTTTTTATGAGCATATTTGATCATTTTATACCCTGCTGCTCAGTCAATATAGCATTTTATTCCACAACCAGCACATATTTGTTAGTGTAGATCAACAGGGCCAATCTTAAAGACTTTGAAGTGAGAACATGTGTTTAGCTTTACTCGCGAGGGCAAATAAAAGGCAAGGACAATGATCCTCTCTGTGATTTAACTATTAACTCAACAAGCAGCCATTAGGAAAACATTAGGGCTAAACGGGTTGAACTTTTAACTCCCCTCCGAGGGTACAGAGCCATGTATATTGTGATGAGTGGGGGTCTGCTGATAGAAACGTTAGCAGAGATAAAGAGGGCGAGTGAGCAGCCATTATGCACCGATGACTGAGTTATTTTGAAGGCTAGTTTAATTGCAACGAAAGCAGTAGCTGATTGATATCAAAGCATGGGTTGAGTCAGCTTACTCTAATGCAGCCTTCCAATAGTATGTTAATGTTCTTGGAATATGTATCACTGAGTAACATTGAGTATTCAATAAAAATATATCACATTTGTTCCAGTCTCTGTCTGTTGAAATCATATTAATGTGGCAGCAGTTGAGTGTAGAACATTTGCCCACAAACCTGAGGATAGGTGGTTTGAACCCATCCAAACTTGTGTAATCAGACACATACAGCCATGTTGCTGATACCTGCTGATATCACCAAGAAGAATGATGCAAGAAGATGTAATAATAAATGAATAATAATGCATCAGTTTTATATAGCACTTTTATGGACACTCAGAGACGCTTTACAGAGCATTATTCATTCACTCCACACCTGGTGGAGATAAACTGCTATTGTAGCCACAGCTGCCCTGGGGCAGAGTAACGGAAGTGAGGCTTCCAATCTGGAACACCACCATCACACACACACACCACTTTCATACAAGGTAATGTGGGTGAAGTTCCTTGCTTAAGGACACAATGTCAGTTTTTGTGACTAGAGCCTCACTGTGGCACCTGATTTTCCCAACAGTCTCCCATTCAAGCACTAACCAGACCGGGCCTTGCTTAGCTGCTGAGATCAGACAGGATCAGGCTTTGACAAACCGCTATGGCCACCAGTTGTAAAACTACTTTGGAGCTACATAATCCTCTAATTTGACAGTAATTTACTCTTTGTCCTAACCCCTTATAATCTTGGGGTCACTGCTAGTATCAATAATTTAAAACTACACAGGTGGCTCAGCTGGCCTCACAATGTCAAAAGATGTTTGAAAGGCTCAGCTCATTATGTCATGTGAATGGTACACTTAAAGTGTTGAAAAAAATCATCATCTTGTTAAGATATATCTTAAAACGGCTCTATATGAGCAGGTTTTACAGACAGATCAATGTTGTTTTGTTTTTCTCATGTGAAATGGTCAGATAAGAGGATTAAAAGGAGGATATTTGTGAAATGGAGAGACTTCTGTTATATTCATAACCACTGTCACAAAAATATCAGAAAGAATACTGATATTAGTGATATTAATAGTTTTATATAGTGCTTATTTCAAAATACAAAGTCATTTTATAGTTTCATTTCATTTCATTACAATTTTATTTGGTGATAATGCTGTAGCCACAGCTGCCCTGGGGTAGTGTGAAATGAGCCCTCAACACCACCAGTCAATAACTGATAAAGAAACTCTGCCAGTCAGTGCATTGTCTTTGATTGAAGTAGGCCTGCATTGGCCACTGGGGAAAAATAGGTCAATAAAAAGCATTTAGCAAATATTCACACAGCATCTCGATGTGGGTAAAACCGTACTGTTTGTGAGAAGAGGATGTGGAATGTCCGCAACTGTTGAAAACATATGAAACTCAAATCCACATTGGTGCAGAGTTCCTTGAAAACTCAGCCAGGGTTTGACTACAACATCAGATGAAAGAGATGACACCTCCACTGATTAATATGGTTTTGTCATGATGAATAAAGAATTGCACAGAGAGAAATCGTTTGTATGCAGTTCATTGTGCTTCTAACCTGCGGTTATAAGAGTTCCCATATGAGGCCAATCAAACTCCACTTTGCGGTTCCTCATTATGAAAGCTGAAGATGATCATACAAAGTACAATATGAAATGTGTTTGAACCCAAGTGGTAACAAGGCAAAGCAGGTCAGCCACTTAGAACAGTCTAGTCCATCAGACTGATCATCTGTAAACACGTAAAAAGCGTTTAAGGTGTTGTGGAGTTCTCAAACAGGCATTGCTCATTTTCATACTAAGCCTGAATTCAGTACTGGCGTTAAGTTTACTAAAATGTAAATGTACATTGTAGATATTTAATAGAATTATTAGGAACAACATTACACAAATTGAGTATATTAGTCTGTGTATTGCTACAACAACTAACAACTTTACACCTTCTTTATTTTGTTATTGCGGTCTACAAATGTGGTCATAGGGCAATGGAGGTCAGAGAATACCTATAAAATAGGCTTTAAAATTAGCCCTTTCATACTTTTCTTCTATAAACAGTAAAGATACAAAAGCCAGGGATCGTTTGTTTTGTTTATCTTCTATTGAGTTCACTGCATGTATTGTATATGTTTGAAGCCACTAAGTAGACTTCAGCCATATTGGAAGCTAAACAAGCCCGAATCAGTCACCACTCTAAATGTCGAGGGATCTGTGAGAATTGCCCCTGTGTGTCTTTGGTGGTCAGAACCCAGGCATCCTTCAACACTGTGGTCAGACAACTGAGGAGCAAAGAGCTGCAGTGCAATCTTCAGGAGGGAAAGAAAATCAGGGGCTACATTTTCTGAGTCATTGAGTTCTTTAGCTTATGGATTGTTTACAGTTAAGTGCATATGTTTTATCTGACAACATGTAAACTACCAACACTTTATTTAGTCTGTGCCCTGCAATGATGAGTGACAATGCTATGAAAAAAAAAAGTTGACATCCTGGAGTGAAATCAGAAATAAACAACCTGGCTCATGTTTTTACCACACAGACCATAGGGAAAGTGACAGGATGCTTTCACTGGACAGAAATCAGTTCTAAGTGCCAAGGTTTTAATAATCCATAAAAAAAGTATATATATATATATATATATATATATATATATATATATATATATATATATATATATATATATATATATATATTATATATTTTTTTTTTTTTTTAAATGCAAATTCAAAAATCCATCACAGAAATGTACTTTGTGTGCTTTTAGTAAATTTACAACAACAACGTCCCGTTTCAGATTAGTCACAAATTTCTGTGATTATGACTCCAAGTTCAGGTCAGCTTCAAGGTTCAATAATTTGCAGTGAGGTTGTTTGTAAATAGAGCAATGCTTCCTTGCTGGTGAGCCCAAGGTTTTAAAAAGTGCAGAGTTGACAAACACGATTAGACAGTGTGTTATTACTGATGATGAAGCCTCCAACTGTTTGACCTTGCTGAAGGGTCTAAAAGAGGAAACTGTTATGTATACCAGCTGCCTCACTTCTTGCAATATAAGTAAACACATTAGACCTCTAATGGTCCCTTGATTATGACAAACATAAAACATCTGTCAAACTCTAGATATTTTTCCCTTTCTTCTGGTTTAAGTAATCTTAAATGGCTAAACTAATCTGTATGTGTGTGTGTACATGTGTGTATGAGAGTGTGTGTAATTTTCTATGCAGCTCTTAAAGTATTTACAATCTTAGTTCTTTCTTAAACAAAACGTCTGTCTTACTTCCTGGCCTCAGCTCTTACTTTTACACTACAGCCATGGGCCTGCGTGGACCCCAATGATCGTCCTCCAGGGGCCCATTAACACAGTCATAGCTGCTCTTGTGTCGGATCGCCCTTAGCACACTGTTTCTCTTGAAGCTTAAGGTAATGATTTGTAAATGACTTGTTGATTGTCCTAATGTAGTTAATTGCATCACCAATGCTGCTGAGCTGCCAACATATTTATCATAGTTATGACTAAATGAATGAGTAGGGTGCAGATGTTTAGAGTGACCCCTGCAGAAGAGGAAAGGGAAGTCTGAATCAACAAAAAGTACTGTTCAAAAATATTTTCATGCAAAGTACATCAAAGTACAGTCTAAAATAATCCTTGTCATTGCATCAATAGCACTACTTGTAGTTCTAATGATAGACAGCAAGCTCCCTGCCTCACAGCAACAAAGCATAGGTCCGTCTTTTGGGCCATGTCAGGCCTTAATGTACAGAGCTCACATGTTGTTGAGTGGGTTTTACGACTTTCTCCATCAACCCAAAAGATGCACAATCGCCAAAATCTTCCAGCCATAGTAGTCCTGCCAAATCAAGACCCTAGTGGTAATGCAGGATGGGTCACATGCAAAGGACAAGTTTGACAAATTTTTATATTTTTGATCCAATGATGTATTATGCAATTATTACTATTACAACTACACCTACCACAGAATATATTACTGCCTGTGTAAAGATATAACTTAGTTCTTATACAAAACACATTTACTTGTTTTGTACTTTGTACTGCATTGAAAGATGTATTTATGAGAAGAAGCATTATTCATTTAAAATTATATTTAATGTTTATTTACTTTATACCTCTGTGCTGTGCATAGATATATGTCTATGGGGAATGAATGGGGGCTAATAGAGGGGCCCATGCTAACAGTTAATCGCGCCCCCTGCAGTCTTTGTATCTTTCATGTGCTAATATTTGGAGGTTATGAGTCCCAACTCCATCTCTCTCGACACACATACATGAATAAGGGTATGAGAGTGAGTGTATACATGTGTAGCTAGTATGTGAATGGGGCCTTCATGAGCACAATAACAAGCACCACTCTCCAAATTCCTTCTCTGTGATTCGGGTTTAAGCCCATAAAATCTGCTGTTTATGGATAAGAGTGCACAAAGGACTTGGAGGCGGGAGGAGGCCATCTTAAACTGGGCCTGTATATCACACATTGTGCTTCCCTTTACCACCATTCCTTTCATTATTATAATCCGCATTCTCACTGCTGGACGTATCTGCGGTGCCTCTGGGCATGGTCTGTTTGTCCATATGTAGTTCTTACCGGGAAAAACTAAAAGTTCAGATATCTATCAAATTATCTGGAGACAGTTTAATTGATTGATCCAAACCACAGAAAGTCCATTCACATATAAGGGTTTGTAGGCATAAGACTGACTAAGACCGTAAGCTTCTGACTAACTGCAGGCCACATGTAACTGATTCAAAAGTCTTACTCTCTAAAGCCATTCACCAACTTTGTACATCCCCAAAACCAGGTTTTTCTAAATATGTGGCAGGACAATGGCATTCCTTCTACAATACACATGGCTTATATTTAACTGTAATGGTACCTCACAAATATCCCTCTTTCACTATTAAATGTTCAATATAATTAGTCAAAAAAATAACAATTACCCTCTGGTCAATATAATTTTATGCCCATTAAAGCCCCTAATACACACTTAATCTCTTAAACTCTTTATCACACAGACATGGCAAAACGGTGTATATAGGAACCAAAGGTAACTCTTGGTCTGAAAACCACAGTCAGCTA